TCACCACAGCCCCCCCGCCACAGTCCCCCTGCCCAAAGGAGACCTGGCTGTTCTGCCCGCCCCCCCAATTCTTGCCTAAGGCCGGCTCCAAACTGGACATGGGTCAATACTTAGGAGACCCCAGCCAAGGGCTCGATACCAGTGTCCCTCCTCTGGGGGCAGGTGGCCTATCCCAGGCCCATCCAGAAGTTCACAGCCCCTGGAACACCTCAAGTCTGATGGACCGGTCAGGTGATGAGACCCCCCTCCTTGCGATTGCTGGTCTGTGAGTCTGGGACCCCCCTCCTATCTAATTCCTCTGCGACTGCCCCCAGGATGTTCACTCCCATCCCACAGTCATTATGCTTTTGTTAGGGAAAGTCTCCCTCACAGGAGCTGTGAGGCGTCAGGGTCCTTCTCCACCGTCCTCTCCACGGCATCCCCAGCACCACCAGCACCTACATGCATGCACCCAGGGTGCGGGCACCGGCCAGCCGTCACCATGCATCTCACTGGTTAGCCCCGAAATCCTTCCTTCTCCCGTGAGACTTGGTCTTCCTCGGTGGGGAATGGGAGCAAGGGAGAGGGGCTAGGAGCTGTGGCTTCTCCCTGGCTCACCAGACAGGGGAGCTGGGCCCTCCTTTCAGGGCCCTCGGGACACAGCATTGGCAAGACGACGGACAGACGGACTTTCAGAAAGAACTTCCTTTGTTGCAAAGTGAAAGGCAGCGCCAGACCTGACCCCTTGACCTCTAACAGGAATTCCTTAGGGCTGGCCTCCAAGTTCCTATGGGATGAGTGCTCCTCAGTGTAGCACTGAGTCACCTGGGGAGGAGGAAGTGTCACCCGTAGCCCAGGGGCAATGTCCCCTCACTGTCCATCCACACCTCCTCCGAAACAGAGGGAAGAGGCTCCAGAGGCCACGGCTTGGGGGACGGGGGGGCAGAGGCAGGAGAGGGGACCCAGGAGGCCTTAAGGCCCCCCCACATGCGGTTCCTCTCTGGAAACCTCTATCTTGCCACATGTGGGTGCGGCAATACCAATCACTACCCCTTGTTAAATGTATACTGTGGGCTAGATCCTCGCTTTTCATCCTCTCTGCAATCCTAGAACGCAGGCGCTATTGTGCCTTCCGTTACGTAGGTGAAGAAATATTCCAGAGAGGTTAGGAGTTTGCTCCAGGTGAGAACGTGGAGTCACTGGGCTTGGACCAGCCTGTGCAGCCCCTTTGAGGCCCTTCTCTCCCTGTGGCTTCTTTTTGGTCTTCGGACTCTCGGTCTCTCCTCTGTCTCCCCCTCCTTGTTCTTCCTCTTGGTCTCTGCTCTGTTTTTCTAAGTTGGCCTCCCCTCCACCCCTCACCCGCTCTGAGCCTTGTTGTTTCCGGGAGTCTCTAAGGCTCTTTCTCTATTTCCATATTTATGTCTCTCTATCTCTTTCTCTGTCCCTGCCTCCTCTTCCTTCTCCTACTGGCTTCCTCCCAAAGCTCATGTGCCAAGAATGGAGCCAACACCCTCCTCCGCGTTAGAATGGGCCCCGGAACCCCTCGGTCTCCCAGGAGTCCTCTTTCTCAAGGCTTCTGGAAGGAGCGGCTGGGGAGCACCTCACTGCAGGCCCGGCCGCCTCCCCAGCAGCACGTGTTGATGTGTGTGTGTGGGGGGGTGCAGACAGAAGCCCAGTGACCTCTATCTCTATCCAGGTTTCCGATTGGTGGATGGGGCTGCCTGGAGCTTCCTCTTCTGGGAAAGTCTGATAGGGAATGGCGGGGGTGGGAGCAGTGGAGAAACTGATCCAACCACCGGCTTCATTCCCAGTGCAAAGAGGAAGACAGAGAGGTGAGCTGGTCCCCGAGCCGGCTGCCAGGTGGCAGAGAAGGTAGTCCCCACGGCAGCAGCAAGTATGATGGGGAGATTGGGGAGACCTCAACAGTGGGAGGGGCAGCAGCAGGGGACAGATGGCAGGAGACAGGAGAGCTGAGCCCACACCCTGGCTCACGTGCGCACGCACAAACACACAGGTCCTGTATCCTGGACTAGGGTGGGAGGGGGTTCAGAGAACAGCTCCCTGCCCCCCAGGCCCAGCTTGGGCCAGGGTCCAGAACTGACCCCTTGCCCAATCTTGCCTGGAGCTGAGGTCTGGCTGATCCTGGGAACCTCAGGCCAGCACAAGCTGTTCCCATCCCCGGGGACTGGGAGCGCAGGCCAGCCCCAGAGAGGCCGCTCCTAAAAGGCCAGGAGAGCAGAGAGTCTACTACTGGAGGCTGGAGGTGGGGGTCAGGGCTGGCCCTGCTGGGTCTCCTGGAGCCGGACCTGCCGCACCCACCAGTCTCGCTGTTAGCACTACCTCAGACCACCCCCAGCCCACGGAGTCCTCTGAGGACCAGGTGCCTGTGACCTCCGGTCGCCTTCCTAAGTCCTCCAAACAGGCCAAGCCGGGAGCGCCAGAAACCTGCAACCTCGTCCCTCCCCTGCAGCCTCCTCACACACTGATAAGAATAAACTCTGACGGGGGGACATGCTTTTGCTCTTCCCAGCCAACAACCACCCCGCGAGGAAGGCTGTGTATCTAGAAATGAGAAACTGAGGCACGGAGCTTAAGCCTCCTGACCCAGGTCCCACCGACCGCTGGTCAGGAGCAGAGTGGAGATTCCAACTGAGCAGCCTTGATTCCACTGCGGTGCCCTTGACGCTCCACTCCCTTCAGCCAAGTAGAGGACCCGGTACTGTCCCTGCAGCCCGGGGAGGGGCACGGGGAGGCTGCCCTGGACTCACCGGCCGCAGCAGCCTCGTTTCCTGTCAGGTGCCCGTCCCCTTGGGCCTCTACTGCAACCCCCCATTCGCATCTCTTTCCCCCGCGTCCCCACTCCCCGCCCAGAGGGCTCAGGCTCCAGTCCAGACGGGACCTCAGAGCGCGCTCGCCTTCATTTCAATATCTTAAAAGATCTAATCCAGCTTTGTATTACGAAAGCGGTGTTGGGGTGGGACTGAGAGGCCCCGGCAGGCGGACCGGACCGGACCGGACCGGACCGGAGCAGCAGACCGGGATGAGAACGGGAGAGCAGCGCCCCGCCAGCTGGGCGGCCAGGGCTCCCGGCTGCACCTCTCGGACCTCAGCGTTCCAATCTGCAGAATGGGCTTGCGGAGGAGGGGGGGTGA